AAGTTTATTTATGACTTTTGAATTAAACATTTATAAACTGCGTTATTATTACCAGAACGTTTTGGCATCGCATCCTCTCATTCCTTATCACTGTCTAATAACTCACACGAAATCTGGAATCGGTAAGTTGAATAGTTTACAAGTTATGGCCTTATAAACAAATTAACTAATTATTAGTCTGGACAATCCCGAGGATCTTCCACAATCGCACTGTTTTTTTTCATGATAGATTTCATAATAACACATTGAAATTTCAAATTTGCAACCTGGATTTTTTTTTATTTTTTGGCCTTAGTTGCAAAATGAAATATACGACGCACGAGCGTGATATAGTTATATATTATATTATATTATAACATATTCGGAAAGCTTATGAAATGAGCTTTAAAAAAATCGTCAAGATTCGTTGAAAAACAACGGAGTTACAGACTCAAATATATTATTTTCAAGCGAATTTCGCTTTCTTAACGGCAAGACTATAAATATTATCGTCATTTTCTTCGGACTCGCTGTCGTTCGCTTCCCCCATTCTTCCGCCGCGCCACGGCTCGCCGAAAATCAAGCGACCCACTGACTTTTGATAATATTTCTTATGCACTTAACATACTTTCACAAATAAAATATTTTTGCCAGGGAAAGTACTCGGGTTGCCGATTATGACAGTATTTTTTTTTGCCGCTACCAACCTAATTTGTTTAACAATCGGCCATCAACTTTGACAAAATCGAAAACTTATAGGCAAAGAAAAAATATGGCATACGCCACTGGATTCTATGTAAAAACTTATTTGATGTCACAAAGATTCACCAAAAAATTGGTTGTAGGTATCTCATAAACAAATTAACTACTTTTTGTCATTTTTATTTATATTTCATTAATTTGATACAGGTATTGAAGTCGAAGTTCATATTTTCCCAACTATACCTAAGTGTTGAAAAACAAAAAGGTAGAGTACAAAAATATTTAAACTGTACCTACTTCAAATCGATAAATAAACAATTTCAATTGCGATAAATTCATATATTCATTTATTTATAAAATATGCCCAAGAAATTATGTTATTGTTACTTTTATATTAATTATAGGTACCTATTCTACTTTTTATCTAGATTTCAAGTGATTCAAAATCTAAATATACAAAGAAGGTCGTTGATCATTATCGGTTGTTATATGATATCTTTTATCTACGAATCGACACGTAAATGCTTTTACATATTTTAAACATGCACTGGACACTGGACTGAACTTAACTTTTGAAGGACTAACCCACACAGCACATGACGTCTCTGGGATATCCTCATTTAGTCCTATATATCCTAATCGGGGATCTGAGTCCTCAGGATATCCTCATGATATTTAAATAAGACAAGAAGATCCTATCAATATCCTATACCTAGTTGGGGATATCCCAGGTAAATCCAGACAGGATGTCCTGGAAATATCCTATGAAGATATTAAAAGCCGAACAATCTCCAATTTTGGGATATCCTAGGCAAATTCTAGAGTGATCCCATCCTGGGATGGTTCTTGGCTTTGCACAGTGCATGGTGCATGCGCAGTATGACATATTGACGACATGACCCGTATCTCGCCATTTTCTGTGTTTCTTTGTTTTATAAGTGCGTGACTCAATGACGTTTTTATTAATTTGAAAAGTGGAAAATGAAATTTAAAGCTTGTTAAAATAGTTAAGTGACGTGCATCAACCACCTGCTGGCAGAAGTAAGTATTTAAATTACCTTTGGTATTAAGGTATTAATATCATAGAATAAACATATAGGTTAGAATCGTATATAGTATTAACTAATTTTGTTCTTACTGTTTGTATCATGCAATAATTATATAATGCCTAAAGAACGCATTAAAAAAACATGTTTTCAAATATTTTTTATATAGAGCCTAATACCATTCAAAAATTAGAATAGTTTTTATCACTATTTGTAATAGATGTGTATAAGTGGTATCACCAAATCTACATAATATGTTCAAATCTATAATTTTTAGTTTTGAATGTGTTGTATATAGGTGTTCTGACAAAGGATTGTATCCCATAAATTTAATTAATTTATTATAGTTCTCTGTCTGTAATATTTGTACCAACATTGTGAGTTATAAGGATTACATTATAAATCGTAGGCAGAATTACGTATTATCTATTAGAATATTAGAATTAAATTTAATATCAACAGATTATAATCCATAGTTCATGAAATTAGAATAGTCTCGTTAAATGTATTTAATGAAAATTTTTGTTTTGTCA